TTTTTTGTTTCTGTTTGACTGATTCTTGCTCTCTCATAGAGACATTAGTTTCCATTTGTCCAATTCTAGTTTTTAACAGAGTGTTTTCTTCTGTTAGTTTTTGTACTTCCTTCTTCAATTGGCCAATTGTGTTTTTTATGGACTTGTTTTCTTCAGTGTACTCTTCTGTTAGTTTTTGTCCTTCCTTCTTCAGTTGGCCAGTTGTGTTTTTTGGAGGGACTTGTTTTCTTCAGTGTATTTTTTTTCCAATTGGCCAATTGTATTTTTGAAGGACTCTTCTACCTCTCTCATTTGACTATTAAAATCCTTCTTGAGCTCTTCTTAGAAGGCTTTTTGGGCTTCAGACCAGTTCATATTCCCTTTTGTTGCTGCAGATTTGGGTTTGTTGACAATGTTGTCCTCTTCAGAATTTCTGTCTTGATCTTCACTCTTCTCATAATATGAATCTATGGTATGTTTCTTTTCACTCATGGTGTTTCTTTATTCCCTGGCCTTTAAAGAGATTGAGCTCTCCTGCTGGGGAACAGAGGGCACAGACCCAAGCATCTTGTGTTGGGAGCCTAGGTCTTGGTCACTGGCTTTGTATGCTGGGGCCTCTCATGTTGTCAGTTGGAGGCTGTAGTTTTCTGGCGGCTTACCTCATGTTGGGCTGGAATCAGCCCAGCTGGAACTTTCAGGTAATTCTAGGTTGCCTGCTTTTCCTTTCCTTTAGCTTTCTTCAGCTCCTTTTAGATGGGTGCTGCAGGGTGTTTCCTCTACCTGGGGTCCCCTGCAGTGTTGTCTCCCTCCTTTCTGCTAATGCACTGGGAGATTCCTTTGCGGTAGAGTGCTGAGGCACCTGGTGGTTTTCTGAGCTGGTTTCCACCAGTGCTCCCCCACCCTCACTGAGGCACTCAGAGGTCCAGGTGTTGGTGTTTGCCTGTTCTACCACCTGGGCTTCAGGATTTCTTCACAATTGGAGGCTGCAGCGCTCCTACAGCTCACGGGCTGGAACCAGCAAGGCTGGGGCTTTAGGAAGACTTTAGGTTACTTTCTTCACCTCTTTTCAGATGAATGCCTCAGGGTACTTATCTACCTGGGGCCCCTTGTAGTTCTACCTCCCTTATTTTTGCTGAGGCACTGGGAGACCCATTTGCTGGGCTGCTTCACTGCTGCTCCCCGTCTTTCTTCTAGTTCAGCTGTTCCAGGGTTTTTTTCTGGGGTGATATTTTCTGGGTTTTCCGAGGTTGATAGGGGAGAGTGAGATTGATTACCTTTTCACTCTGCCATCTTGGCTCCGTGGAAGTGGAAGTCCGATGGCATGCATTCTGAATATCCCTTCTCCTAATCTGCCCTCCCTTCTATCTCCAGCCCTTCTCTTATCCCCTTCCCCTTCTATTTTCCTGTAGGGCAGGATAGATTTCTATACCCCATTTCCTGTATATCTTATTTCCCAGTTGCATATGAAAACAATTTTTTTTAACATTTGTTTTTAAAACTTTGGATTCCAAATTTTCTCCTTTCCTCCCTCCCACCCACCCTTATTGAGAAGGCAAGCAGCTCTATACAGGTTATATATGTGTAGTCATGCAAAACACTTTCATAGTAGTCATGTTTAAAAAACTAAGTATATTTCCCTTAATCCTATCCGGCCCCCCCTTTATTCTATTCTGTCTTTTATCCTGTCCCTCTTTACAAGTGTTTGCTTCTGATTACCCCCTCCCCCAATCTGCCCCTATTCTATCATCCCCCTGCTCTCTTGTCCTTCCAACTACCCTAATACTGACAAAGGTCTCATGAGTTACAAATACCATCTTTCCATGCAGGAATGTAAATAGTTCAACCTTAATAAGTCCCTTATGATTTCTCTTTCCTGTTTTACCTCTTCATGTTTCTCTTGAGTCATGTATTTGAAAGTCAAATTTTCTATTCAGCTCAAATCTTTTTATCAAGAATGCTTGAAAGTCCTCTATTTCACTGAATGACTATTTTTTCCCCCTGAAGGATTATACTCAGTTTTGCTGGATAGGTGATCCTTGGTTGTAGTCCTATCTCTTTTGACCTCCAAAATATCATATTCCAAGCCCTGTGGTCCCTTAATGTTGAAGCTGTTAAACCTTGTGTTATCCTGATTGTGTTTCCACAATATTTGGATTTTCTTTCTGGCTGCTTGTAATATTTTCTCCTTGACCTGGGAACTCTGAAATTTGGCTACAATATTCCTAGGAGTTTTCCTTGGGGGATCTCTTTCAGGAGGTGATCTGTGGGTTCTTTCAAGTTTTATTTTGCCCTCTGGTTCTATAATATCAGGGCAGTTTTCCTTGATAATTTCTTGAAAGATGATGTCTAGGCACTTTTTTTTATCATGGCTTTCAGATAGTCCAATAATTTTTTAAATTCTGTCTCCTGGATCTATTTTCCAGGTCAGTTATTTTTCCAATGAGATATTTCACATTGTTTTCTATTTTTTCATCCTTTTGGTTTTATTTTACAGTGTCTTGATTTCTCATAAAGTCACTGTCTTCCAATTGCTCCATTCTAATTTTTAAGGAAGTATTTTTTCAGTAATCTTTTGGACTTCCTTTTCCATTTGACCAATTTTGCTTTTTTAAGGCATTCTTCTCCTCATTGGCTTTATGGACCTCTTTTGCCATTTGTGTTAGGCTATTTTTTAAGGTGTTATTTTCTCCAGTATTTTTTTGGGTCTCCTTTAACAAGCTTTTGACTTGTTTTTCATGATTTTCTTGCATCACTCTCATTTCTCTTCCAGGTTTTTCCTCTACTTCTCTTACTTGCTTCACAAAATCCTTTTTGTGCTCTTCCATGGCCTGGGACCAATTCATATTTTTCTTTGAGGCTTTGGATGTATGAGCTTTGACTTTGTTGTCTTCTTCTGGTTGTATAGTTTGATCTAACCCCCAGCCTCAGCAATCTAGACAAAAGATATAATCCCACCCAAGCCAGAGTAGAACAAAATGGGCTTGAATTCACCTTAGCTTAAATTCTTTGCAAGGTTCTCTAGTTGGGTGAGGTTTCCCACCCAGGATCAAAAAGTATGTACCCTGGGAACTTGGGTAATCTCATCCGTCAAAAGTGTCCCTCAGTTCAATGTCTTGAACAACCTACAGGTTTCCAAAAAAAAAATCATGGTCCTAATTCAATAATTGATTATTAATATAAGAGAATTAAACTGCTTCAGTTCTGGAGTTATTAAACAACTCGCCTCATTAGCACTTCCTTAAAATCTTGAAAACCATTTCAGATTTTCTTTGTCCTCTCCTAGTAGGCTCTTGTCATATCTAACCAACTAATTTTGAATTCAACTAATTTTGAATTCAACAAACATTTATTTATTAAGCATCTACTATGTCAGGTTACTATCCTAGGCAAGGTAGGGATGCAAAGACAAAAGTTAAGCCTCTCACATCAAGAAGTCTTCACTCTATTGGGTGAAAACAACACGTACATTGAAACTTACAAACAAGCAATGGGGTTCCTGCCCTCAAGTAGCTTACATTTAATAAGCAAAGACAAGACATATAAAGGAGTGATGGCCAGGGAGGTGTGTTGTAGTCTAAATGATGCATACATCTTTCCCAGGAATAGTGGTGATAATTTGATTACTGTTCTCTAAACTAGAGATTGAAAGTTTGTGTGTTTTGGGAGGGTTGAGGGGCAGGGGGAGAATTGGATGTAGAGGCAATTGATTGGTGGCATGTCATGAAGCAACAGTATTGCTCTCCCTTGGGCCTAGAAAGCTCTTCCTCATCTCTCCCTCCTGGCTTCCCCAGGCTTCCCTCAGATTGCACACATAAAATCCCACTTTCTACAGGAAGCCTTCACTAACCCACCTTAATTCCAGTATGTTCCCTCTTTTAATTATTTCCTATTTATCCTATATATAGTTTGCTTTGTACATATTGGTTTACATGTTGTCTCCCCCATTAGATTGTAAGCTCCTTGAGGGCAGCTACTGCTTTGCCTCTTTTTGTATCCCCAGCACTTAGCACAGTACTTGGTACATGATAGGGACCTAATAAATGTTTATTGAACGAATGAATGTATGTGGAGTGAGTCTGAGTCAGAAGTCAAGGATGATGCTGAAATTGTCAGTGTAGGGTACTAGGAGGATGGTGATAGCCTCAGTTCACAGACATACTTTGTTATAAATAGAATTAAAACCTCAGGAGAATATTTTAAAATAATGAGATATGTTTCTTCCAGAGTACACAAAAATATTGTAACTTCATTGATTGGAAATCAATTCAGAGTTTCTGGTTATTGCAGAGATCCATGATTCATCTTTTACTGGGTCTCTATCCTTGATGTTTTTCTAGTTTAATACAAAAACGTTGTCACATCCAGATCTCATGCATTTGGTTTTGGTTTTTAGGAATTATTCCTTCAACTTTCTCTTTCAAAGTTTTCAGTTGTACTAGAACACTCCCTCCCTTTCCCATTCCAGCCTTCCTTATCACTCTCTCTTTCCATTCGATGAATTTTTTCATTAACACTATTGTTTTTGGAATATTTTAGTAGCTTAACACAGTTACTTATTAAATACTCCTCATAAATCCAATTCATGCACGAGTCAGGACATCAACTTGTGATGTCACTGTTCTTCTTTGAAACCAAGGACAAAGAACAATTCCTTGTAATCTTTTGGCTACTACATGCCCCCAGCTGGGAACCCCTGGAGATCAGAAGACCTGGGTTGCTTTCTCTGCCACTAATGTCCTTTGTGACCTTGGGCAAGTCACTTCTCTTCAAGCCTGATCTAAATGATCTGCAAGTGCCTTTCCTACACAAAGTCTGAAAGCAGCAGAAGGTCTGAATACCTGTTTACAGATTTTGATAATAAATTTATAAGAACTCCATCAGAGTTATTGTATATTATTTGTCTACTAAGTATACAATATTGGTTTCTCACTAACTGCATATTTTCCAACAATTAATCATTAAGCTTAACCCCTAAAAGAACTTCTAAGATTACTTACCCTGTATTTTTTTCTCCGTTCCAGATAGAAGCAGATTCTGTTATGACATCAATAAATTCAAACGCTTCAGGTAATATGATAATTAATAATTTTTTCATTTCAATTATTTGTATTCATGAATTCATAAAGATAACATTAAGAATATATATGGAGACAGTAATTGTTTTTCTGCTTTGTTGTCAAGTTATGCAGAAGGCTTTTAAAAGCCAAGTTGTATCACTCTCTAATAGAAATAGTGTCCCTGAGTATTAAGAACATTTGTAGTACAAAGAATATTTCCCCTTTAAAAGGCAATATAGCATCCCCCTAGAGAAAAAGAGATAGAGAATAGATACCAACATTCCAAGCTCATTGGTGGAAGAGAGCTGAGAGTAGATGCTTAAAAATGAATATTACTAGAAAGCATGTTTTCTCTCTCCCATTAAAATTACTGTGTATTACTTAGTATATATTTATCTATGTCTATGTTGTAATTCCCTCACCCAAGAATATAAGCTTCTTGAGAGAGGGGACTGTTTTGTTTTAGTCTTTCTATCCCCTGCCTTTAGCATAGTGACTTGTATTTAGTAGGTGCTTTAATTATTGTTGGTTAAATTGAATTGAATTGGTGTTAAAACAATAATAAATAAGACACCATTTATGCCTTTCAGGCTCCTAACCTGCTAACAGTATTTTAAAAAATCTGTTTTCGTATCCAGCTAAGTTTTTCTTTGTTTGAATTGATATTTACAGTGTCACTTTATTTCATCTACAACACATTCATTCAGTTAACTAATACTTATTGAGGACTTGCTATATGTGTAACACAGTGAGCTGTAAAAGAAGTGCAAGACACAACAGTCCTTACCTTCAGAGAGAAGATGATATAAATATAAAAATACAAATATAATTAATTGTTAAATAAATGATAAAGACAATAAATTTTCTTCGGTTGTGTTTTGTTTCCTCTTTCTGGTGGTTCCTCTTATTGGTTCTAATTCTTCCTTACAACATCACTAATGTGAAAATATGTTTAATAGGAATGTGTGTGTACAGCCTGTATATCACATTGCACACCCTCTTAGAGAGGGAGGTAGGGAGGGAGGGGGAGAAAAATCTGAATAAGTACAAAGTGGTTTATGGAGATAGTACACTTGCAGTTGGGGAATCAAAAAAGACTCCGTGTAGAAGCTAGTGCTTGAGCTGTTTTGAAGGAAGTAAGGGACTCTGTGAGGAAGAGGGAGAGCACTCCATGCATAGAAGATGGCCAGTGGAAAGGTTTGAAAATGAAAGGTAGACACCATTTTGCCTAGACTATAAGTGTGAGAAGGGGAGTGTGTAATTGAGACTGGAAAGGTAGGTTGAAAACAGGGGCTTACAAGCCAAAAAGAGGAGCAGTTTATCCAAAAGAGGCAATAAGGACCCATGGGAGTAGAGGAATATTGTAGTTAGATCAGCCATTAAGGAAAAGCACTTTTCTTAGCATGTGGCTGCTGTTTCAAACAGTGGCAGCTCTCTGGAAGATGGATTGATGTGATATGGAAGGTGGATTGGATGATGTCATCCTTGAAAGTTGTATGTTGATGTTTGGTTGTTTCAGTCATGGGCAACCCTTTGTGACTCCATTTGAGATTTTGTTGGCAAAGATAGTGGAGTAGTTTGCCATTTCTTTCTCCAGTTCATTTAACAGAAGAGGAAACTGAGGCAAAAGTGACTTGCCAGGGTCACAGAGCTAATAAGTGTCTGAAGCCAGTTTTGAACTCAGGAAGATGAGTCTTCCTGACTTTAGGTTCAACACTCTCTCCACCCAGCTGCCCTGAAAGTTATATAAGGATGCTCTACTGCTAGAACACTTATTTGGGACAAAAATCAAGATAAAATTGAAGGAATATGGTGGCTCATTGTAGTGAAATTTGCAATATTTCCCTTTTATCCATTACACTTAGCAAACAGAGTTCTACAGCATCTGAATCTTTTCTTGTATGCTAAAAAAAAAGCCAATTATATTTCCTTTGCTATTTTGGGGCCCATTCACTATGTAAAACCTTTTTTTTTAAATTAATTTATTTTGGTTTATCAACAATCACTTCCATAAGCTTTGAGTTTCAAATTTTTCTCCCCCTCCCTCTCCACCTCCCTCTCCAAGATGGTGCACAATCTGATATAGGCTGTACATATACATTCCTATTAAACATATTTTCACATTAGTGATGTTGTAAGGAAGAATTAGAACCAATAAGAGGAACCACCAGAAAGAGGAAACAAAACACAACAGAAGAAAAAAAATAGCAAATACTATGCTTCAATCTGCATTCAAACTCCATGGTTCTTTCTTTGGATGTGGATAGCATTTTCCATCATGAGGCCTTTGGAGATGTCTTAGATCCTTGTATTGCTGAGAAGGGCTAAGTCTCTCAATATTAGTCATCATACAATGTGGCTGTTACTGTGCACAGCATTCTCCTGGGTCTGCTCATGTCACTCAACATTAGACCATACAAGCCTTTCTAGGTTTTTCTGACATCTGCCTATTCATCATTTCTTATAGCACAATAGTATTCCATTACATTCATGTACCACAGCTTGTTCAGCCATTTCCCAATTGATGGGCATCCTTTCAAGTTCCAATTCTTTGCCACCACAAAAAGAGCTGCTATGAATATTTTTGTACGTGTGGGTCCCTTTCCCATTTATATGATCTCTTTGGGATACAGCCTTAGAAGTGCTATTGCTGGGTCAAAGGGTATGTACTTTTTTATAGCCCTTTGGGCATAGTTCCAAATTGCTCTCCAGAATGTTTAGATCAATTCACAACTCCAGCAGCAAAGCATTAATGTTCCAATTTTCCCATATCTTCTCAAATATTTATCACTTTCCTGTTTTGTCATGTTGGCCAACCTGATACGTGTGATGTGGTACCTCAGAGTTGTTTTGATTTGCATTTCTCTAATCAATAGTGATTTAGAGCATTGTTTCATATGACTATAGATGGCTTTAATTTCTTCATCTGAGAACTGTCTGTTCATATCCTTTCACCATTTATCAGTTGGGGAATGACTTGTATTCTTATAAATTTGACTTAATTCTCTATATATTTTAGAAATGAGGCCCTTATCAGAGAGACCGGCTGTAAAAATTCTTTCCCAATTTTCTACCTTCCTTCTAATCTTGGTTGCATTGGCTCTGTTTGTGCAAAAACTTTTCAATTTAATGTAATCAAAGTTATCCATTTTGCATTTCCTAATGTTCTCTGTCTCCTGTTTGGTCATGAATTCTTCTGTTCTCCATAAACTATTCCTTGCTCTCCCAGTTTGCTTACAGTACCAGCCTTTATATCTCAATCATGAGCCCATTTTGATTTTATTTTGGTATATGGTATGAGATTTTGGTCTATGCCTAGTTTCTGCCATACTCTTTTCCAGTTTTCCCAGCAGTTTTTGTGTAATAGTGAGTTCTTATCCCCAGAAGCTGAAATCTTTGGGTTTGTCTAACAGTAGATTACTATAGTCATTGACTTGCGTACTTAACCTATTCCACTGATCCACCTCCCTATTTCTTTCTTTCTTTCTTAGGCAATTGGGGTTAAGTGACTTGCCCAGGGTCACACAGCTAGTAAGTGTCAAGTGTTTGGTCTGAGGTCGGACTTGAACTCAGGTCCTTCTGACTTCAGAGCCGGTGCTCTATCCACTGCGCCACCTAGCTGCTCCTCACCACTCTATTTCTTAGCCAGTACCAAGCAGTTTTGATAATTGCTGCTTTATAATGTAATTTAAGATCTGGAATGGCTAGGCCACCTTCCCCTGCATTTCTTATGATTAGTTCCCTTGATATTCTGGATCTTTTGTTATTCCAAATGAATCTTATTATTTTTCTAACTCTATAAAATAATTTTTGGTAGTTTGATTGGTATGGCACTGAATAAGTAAATTAGCTTAGGTAGAATTGTCATTTTTATTATATTAGCTCAGCCTACCCATGAGCAACTAATGTATGTAAAACCTTTCTGAGCCTTTGTTTGCCAGATAGGTTGGCTACCAGATTATGAATATTTGTTAGCCATGAAGCTCCAGTCTACTAAGGTATAAAAGGACTGTAATCTTTACTGGCTGAAGAAATAACTACAAAGAGGGCTAGTTGGCACCCCTTCCCCAACGTAGAAACTCAAGTAAAAGCAAAGGGCCCAGGTAGGGAATTTGAGGCCCAGGAAGGGCATCAGACATATCTGAGTCTTGAGCTCTGAGACAGAAGGCTGTTAGGACTTTCCTACAGATAGCATTGCCCTCCTAAGTCACTCTCCTATGGTGCCACTCTTTTCCTTCTCAACAAATTAGTTTAAATGATTAATTAAAGAGATATGCTCTGTATCCAATTCCCTTTCCTAATAAATTACCTCTGAATTTCACATATATATATCAGGTATCTTGAAAAGCTGAACTATCTAAAATGTCAGTTTATTGTGCTAACTACTTACATAAAATGTGACCTTTTCCCCTGGCATTTGTTTAGAGTTTTTAAAAAATGAAAATGAATGTATCCATGATATTTTTGCTTAAAGTTAAAAATAATGCCATCTTGTTCAGTGAAGGGATTATTTAGGAATATCACCTTCTTCTCCTTGATACTTTCCCTCTTTCTAGGTTTTCATGACACTGCTTTCTCCTGGTTGCTCCTTTTTTATCCTCATTTGATGTATCTTTATCCATGCCACACCAGCTAACTGTGGGGGTCACTCAGGGTTCTGTCCTGAACCCTCTCTCTCCTCCCTCTATATCCCTTTATATCACTTGGTGATCTTTTCAGTTTCCATGGCTTTAATTATTATATCTCTATGTTAATAATTCTCAGATCTAGCCCTAATATTTCTGCTGATCTCCAGTCTCATATTTCCAGCTGCCTCTTAGATATCTTGAACTGCATGTCCTTAGATATCTTAAACTCAGAATGTTAATGAATGTTCAGAAAGGAAAGTTCATAAAGAATCAATATTTGAACACCACCTTGCATAGGCTATATAACACACTAATAGGATCAGTGGACAGGTAGATCGTATGATCCTGGGCAAGTCATTTAACACCGTTTGTCTCAGTTTCCTCATCTGTAAGATGAGGTGGAGAAGGGAATGTCAAACCATTCCACTATCTTTGCCAAGAACACCCCAAGTAGAGTCATGAAGGGTCGGACATGACTGAAAAGCAACTTGAACAACAACAACAGATCATGGGAATACTGTAGATACAGATTAACTAGATTTCAGCAAAGCATGAAACAAGGCCACTCATGTTCATCTTATGGGCAAGGTAGATAAATGGGGGCTAAGTAGTTGTATAGTTATCTAGATTTGGAATTCACTGGATAGCCAGACCCAAAAAGTCTTTAATGATTCCCTGTCAATTTGGCAAAAGGCCTCTAGAGGACTAGGCAAATGAGTGGTAGATAGAGTGCCAGGCTTGGAGTCAGGAAGACCTGAGTTCAAATCCAACCTCAGACATTTAGTAGCTGTGTGACCCTGGGCAAGTCACTTAACCCTTTTTGCTTCAGTTTCTTCATGTATAAAATAAGCTAGAGAAGGAAATGGCAAACCCATCCAATACCTTTACCAAGAAAAGCCCAAATTGGGTCACAAAGAGTCAGGCACAACTGAAATGACCCAACAAAACAACATATCTAGAAGAGTGCTCTAGATATCCGAGCTTGTCTGTGATGTTTAGAATTTTTAGCAATGACTTGGATTTTGTAGCGTGCTTATTAAATTGGTGAATTGCCCAAAACTATAGAAGGTAAGTAAATTATGTGACAGAATCAAGATCCAAAAAGATCTCAATACCCTAGAACACTGGAGTCAAATATAATAAGACAAAATGAAATAGGAGAGATTAGAAAGTTTTACAGTTATAAGGTCTTTCATTCCTCGCAAGTGAAATATGAGAGAGACATATCTAGCCAGAAAATTGCAAGTTCAGCATCATACAACAGTGTCCAGAATATAATGTAGTTAAGCTAAGTAGCATCCAGGAATAAGGAGTTTATAGTGCTGCCGTATTCTGTCCCAGTTAGACACATGTGGAGTCTGGTCTTCAGTTCTGGGGGTCATGCATTGAGTAGAATAATGATAAGATGGAATATGTCAAGAGAAGGAAAATCAAAACAGTGGAGAGCCCCAAGATCATGCCATGTCAACATTGGTTGAAGGAATTTTTGAGATGTTAAGGCTTATTAATGATAATTGCTTTCAGATATTCAGTTTGTTCTGTTTTGTCCCAGAGGTCAAAACTAGAAGCAATAGGTAGAAGTTGAACATATTAGAGACATAGTTAGGCTTTAGTATAAGGAAAAACTAACAACTATAACTATCTAAAAGTGGAATAGGCTACCTAGGGGAAAAGTAGGTTCTCTTTAATGAGAGGTCTTGAAGCAAAGTCTTGTTGGAAATATTGTGGAAGTGACTCTTATTCAGGTACATGTTATACTGGGGAGCTTTTGAGGTCCATCCCAACTTGAAAAGTCTGTGATTCTGAAAAAAAATTTGACTTAAAACCAACTATATTATTTAATATAAAATTTAATATAAAACCATTGCCGTTAAAATCCTCTACAAACATCATATTAGAGCTCACTTTAATGGCCACTGTAAGCACAGTATTCCACTTTATACTATCCAATGTGACTATTTCATTGTGACAATCACAGGAATCCAGGCTTATGGCAGCTGAATATATCATGGGGTTTATTCAGTCCTGGGGATGGTGCCGGTTCTAATGCTTAGATAATATTCTCTCCACCTTAATCCATAGTGTGCTATTGATACTGACTTTTGAGAAACTAGTTATCTGACCTCATCTCCCAGGTACAGAAAAAATGCCATAATGATATCCAGGAAGGAAAAGAAAAATAGATCAAGAAAGGAATACTAGAAAGCAAAGTAAGAAAAGTTGAGGCCTTATTTCGTAAGTGGTACCTGTGCCTGTTTATTGAATTCAGTAGTGAATGAAATAAGCGCGCACGCACACACACACACACACACACACACACACACACACACACACACTTTTGGAAGGGAATCAGTTCATTCACCAACTCCCTGAAAGAAGTCCACCCCCAAGGGGAGCATTTTTCTAATATTCATGCCTGGTGTCAGGTATAATATCTAGTATACTCAGTTTTATAAATCTTTAGGAATAATATCCTTTTTAACCAATTTAAGTGAAAATTAGATAATTCTCAGTACTTTGAAAATCTCTTCACTTATACATAGGGACAGTTAGATGGTATAGTGGATAGAGCCCTGGGCTTAGAATCAGAAAGACTTGTGTTCAACTCTGGTCTCATACATTTACTAGCTGTATGACCCTAGGCAAGTAATTTAACCTCTTTGCCTCAATTTCCTCATCTGTAAAATGGGGATAATAGTAGTACATACTTCCCTCCCAGGGTTGTTGTGAGGATCAAATGAGACAATATTTGTAAAGTACCTGCACATATATAGTAAGTACTATATAAATGTTAGCTGTCGTATATACTTTTCTAAAAGAGAGAAACCATCTTTCTTTGGGTTTCTAGGTATATGCCTTGAAGAGTTTATAAAACTAATGGAGAAAAAAAAAGCAGCCCAACTCCATCAGAATGAAATAAGACAGATCTTCACAGCTTTTGACAGGCAATGTAAGTGTTTTAAATCATCCTAGTTAAAAATGCATGTATTTTTAATTTCATTATTTACATAATGAAATATACTTGTATAGAATATTTCTGTTCTGGAATGGTTGTTTTAAATTCTGCTTCTAGAATTTTTCTTCTTTTTTATAGTAATCTCTAATTTATGGCTTTTAAGATCACTATCTCTTAAGTGCTTGACATTTATCATAAGTAGAATTATAAGTAAGAGTATATTAAAGAAAAATCGAACTTGACCTGAATTGTAATCTAAGTTGGGGTAGAGAAGGGAAAGGAGTGCCATGAGACTGTGTCAGGAGTTTGGCTTGGGACAATCCAGGCTGCCATAAGCCTGGATTCCTGTGATTGTCACAATGAAAGATAAGTCAGCCTCAGTCCTTCCCTCTCCTCTGAGTCCAGATATTGCTATGTTCTCATGCATTTTTGAGGTTTCTTAAACTACCTTGCTGATTGGGAGTAGCCAAAGTGGGGTCCTTTGGACTCCCTTGAGTCGTTGGAGGGGTCTTCAGTGACACTGAATCTAAGTTAATACCATGGTTCCCACCATGGTTTGTTGGTTTTTACTCATATATCATTATTTTATAGCTAAGTAGCAAAAGAAACTAGATTTCAGACATTTTCAAGTACTATGTTGGTAGCTCATAACCAATAGAAACTGAGTGCCATATTCAGTGTATATTCCTGAATCTCATCATTTTCCTAGAACTACTTCTATTTTAGGATGTTGTTTTCTAAAGGACTGATTAAATTATAGGATTTCATTGCTTTCATTTTTTGAATAAGGAGACAGATCCAGTGGCCTTATCCCAACATGTAACTAGCATGAGTAAGACCAGAACTGTGGAAGCCTAATTCTTAGTTTAGAATCTAATTCTTTTTCCATTGCCCAGCATTTCTCCTTATCGTCCCCCGGTGACTCCTATTATCATTGTTCACTTCTCTTTTGCTCAGTCATATTTCTCTGTCTCTGATTGATACTCTTCTTCTGATTTGTCGTCAGCCTTCATCACAGTGACTTCCCTAAAGCCTTGTTGAATGATTGCATGTAAGGCCCTGTGGCCCATATGCTTCCACTGAGCCTTACTGTGTTCTGCTCGTTGACGCTTTAATTCAGAGGCTGTTGGTCTTTAGGGCCCACTGCCACTTATGGACTTAGTGTAGGTCCACATTCTGTCAATTCCAAGGCTGAATAGACTGGCTGATGTGATACTTTTACCCCAAGAAGCATGCCTAGCCTGAATAAAGCCTGAAGAACAAACCTGAAAGCTTTCAGCTTGGCTTAGGGGGAGAAAAAAAAGACAGAAAACTTAAAATGTACTGAAGATTTTATATCCTCAAAGCAGTTTTTAATTTAATCACAGCTCTAGGTTTTAGCATTAAAACTTGGAAATTCTAGAACTACTCAGCTACTTGATGTGTAAGAATTTCAGTCCATCTCTAAACTCTTCTTAGAGCTGCCTAGAAGCAGCTAAGTGACACAATGGACACAACACTGGGACCTGAGTTCAAGTCCAGCCTCAGACACTTGCTAGAAGTATTACCCTGGTCAAGTCATGTAAATTCTGCTTCATTTCATTTCTTTAACTTTAAAATGGAAATCATCTCCAAAATAATCACTAATCTCCCAAAATTGTTTTGAAGAACAAATGAGATAATATTTGCAAAGGTGCTTGACACAGTGCTTGACAGTCAGTAGGTGCTTAAGAAGTGCTTGGTTTTTTTTCCCTCCCTTTATGTCACAATAGCGAAAATTGCCATTTTCTGGGAGTTTATAGTGATAATTCCCCTAAAGTCCTACCCTGACACCTTATTCGGTGAAGGAAAAAGACAAGGGCAAGCATTTATTAAGTGCTAATTATGTGTCAGACACTATGGTAAGTGCTTTACAAATATTCTGTCTTTTGTACTTACAAAACATTATGAAGTAGATACTCTTATCCTCATTTTAAAGTGGAGGAAACTGAGGTACACAGAGATTAAGCGACTGGCCCAGAGTCACATGGCTCCAATTCAGTGTGTCAGTGGCTCTGATGTTGTAGGACGGAGGTGACTTTGGGTTCCCAAGGGGCCCAGCCATCTCCTTTGTCGTTTCTCTGTGCTTTACAGGAACCTTTTAGCATTCAGTTTATGAATGTATGCTAGAAAGGTTTCGACGGTATTTCTGTTTTTCAGGGTCCAATTGAGATAAAATCAAAGAGATTCATCACTAAGTCAGCCACAGTCACTTTCAAAGGCCATCCACCAGACGGTAGAAAGGCTGTGATCTGCATCAGTAAAGGGAAGGGAGCACCCACACACATGAAATTAGAAATTCTTGAAGTACCAAGGTGTGGATATTGCCAGTGATATCAAAGTCAAAAGATTATCTCTGCCATCCCTTCCAAAATTTGCCTTTTGTTATTCAGTTGTTTCAGACTCTTCGTGACCCCATTTGGAGTTTTCTTAGCAAAGATTCTAGAGTCGTTTGCCATTTCCTTCTCCAGCTCATTTTACAGATGAGAAAACTGAAGTAAACAGGGTTAAGTGACTTGCCCAGGGTCACACAGCTAGTAAGTGTCTGAGGCTAGATTTGAACTCAGGGAGATGAGTCTTCCTGATTCCAAGCCTGGCATTCTATCTACTGTGCCACCTTTTAGTTTCACTAATTATTGTTCGAGGTGAATAAAACTTATGACTAGGAAATAGAGGAAAATGATGACTTTAATAGAATAGACTAGTAAATTGCCACTACTTATTTAAAAGACTCCTCTTAGAATATAGTAGTAAATTATGAAAACCTAGTGAGAGGCATTTTGCTCAAAGCATTTTTATGCTTGAAGAAAACTTTTCAATACTCTTGGCTCCATTACCTCAGTTTACTGATAAATAAGTGTGCCTTATACTACAGGTATGGTTGCATGCAGTGGAACAACATTGAACTTTCTACAAGATTCTAAGTGGCACAGTGGATAGAGTGCTGTCAGGAAAACCCGAGTTCAAATCTTGCTCCAGATAGTTACTGGCTGAGTGACCCTGGGCAAATCGCTTCTTCTCTTTAAGACTCAGTTTTCTTATCTGTAAAATGAAGATAATAACAGCACCTGCTTCACAGGGTTGTTGTCAAAATCAAATCAAATAATATATGTAAAACATTTTGCAAAATTTGAGGTGCTATGTAAATGCTAGCTGTTACCATTATTATTAGTCTTTTCTAAATTCCTTTTTTTTTCTTTAAGTAAAGGGGCAGTTAGGTGGTAGAGTGGATAGAGCATCAGGCTTGGAATCAGGAAGACCTGAGTTCAAATCTGGTTTCAGATATTTACTAGCAATGTGACCCCGGACAAATCACTAAACCCCTATTTGCCTCAGTTTCTCATCTGTCAAATGGGGACTCGGTGGAGAAGGAAATGACAAACTACTCCAGTATTTTTGCTAAGAAAACCCTGGTGGTTTTTTTTTCCCTTCCTTTATCTTACAGTAGTAAAAATCGACCGAGTCCATGGAGTCACGTAGGGTCGGACACAACTGAATACCACCACCACCAGTCAAAAGCTTGATACAAATACTGTAGTTGAAATTCCTGATGCAACTGTTTTATACAAAAGAAATTTCTAAGTATACAATAAGTGTTTTGTATCTGAACAAATAATTCAAATCTTTTTTTTTAATTTTGTCTTAAATAAGATCGTGGATTTTTAACTTTGGAAGATTTCAAAAAAGCCTTCAAACAAGTGGCTCCCAAGTTGTCAGAAAGGATTGTGCTCGAAGCTTTCAGGTAAGAGCTGTAGAATACTCGTGTAGCACGCAGGTTCACATGCTGAGAAGTTATAGAAAATGGAAACAGTCGTTAGCTCACAACAACCCCCTGAAAAGGTTATAACATTTTTAGCACTAAGGTTTCAAGGCCTGATGGAGACTTCCTTCAGTGTTTGAAACTTATCTGTCAGTTACAGAACCAATAGTTGTGCCCTGATGTCAAATACTGCGTACAGACGCTGCTCTAAGGCTTACATATAGTTCAGAAGTTCTTAGGAAACTAATGCTATTGAGGAGCTCTTTTTTGTGTCCATGTTAGATAGCTCAGGCCAACCGATCAGTCAGTCAATCAACAGGTATCTATTGAGTACCTCCAGGGTTCCAGGCACTTTGCTAGGTCCTGGGCATGCAGACACAAAAAGGAAGCCTTTGTTTCTCTCAAAAAGTTTGCATTCTACCAAAAAAGGCAAATTCTCTTCAGACTGGCTTAGTACTGAGTTCATCTACTAGAATTAGAATGGTAAGATCAGTAATTTCTAGAGCTCTCAGGTTTTAAATGATGAGATTTTTCTTTTCTGTAACAGATGTATTTTAAGTTCTTGTAATGACTTTTGATGTCATTTCTCTGACCAAAAATCTTCAACAACTCCCCACTGCCAACAGGATGAACTCATTATCCAAATGCCCAATGCCCTTTACAACCTGATACCATTCATCCTTCCTGATTGTGTCTCCTACTATCCTCCTGTTGAACATTGACCTGGGAGTAAAGACACCTGGCTGCTAGTCCTGGATCTGCCACTAACTAGCTATGTAACCTTGAACATTTAATGTACCTATGGGCAGCTAGGTGGTGCAGTGGATAGAGCACCGGCCCTGAAGTCAGGAGGACCTGAGTTCAAATGCAGCCTCATTCCAAACACTTGACACTTACTAACTGTGTGACCCTAGGCAAGTCACTTAACCCCAATTGCCTAAAGACAAAAAACAAAAACCCAACATTTAATGTCCCTGGGCCTCAGTTTCCTCACCTGTAAAAAAGAAAGAGGCTGGCCTCAATGATCTATGTGGTTCCCTCCGAGTCTAAAGTTCTGTGATCCTACAATGGAATTTTACATGTATGTATCCTTTTAGACCAAGGTCTTTGCACATAGGGACTGTGTCATATACTGCTTGGTATCTCCCATAGTACCAGTACAGTTGGTTACACAGCCCAAATATTTAACGAATACTTGTTATTTAATTGACTTAGTATCACTGAATTCAATAACCCTTTCCTTTATACGCAATAAATCTTCCCTCATTTTTTTTGTTGTTGTTAAGTCCTTTCAGTCATGTCCAACTCTGCACCACCCCATTTGGGTTTTTCTTGGCAAAAATGCTGGAGTGATTTGCCATTTCCTTCTCCAGCTCATTTTACACATGAGGAAACTGAGGCAAACAGGGTTAAGTGACTTGCCCAGGGCCACACAGCTAGTAAGTGTCTGAGACCAGATTTGAGCTCAGGAAGATTCCCTAATCTTCCCTTACATACTGTTTTTATACATTCAGTCATTCCATAATAATATATTGAGGTGAGAATGTTAAGACAAGGAGACCAGTAGTCCTAATAAGAGGCAATGAGGACCTGAACTAAAGTTTTTGGCACATAGTAAGTGTTAAGTAAGTTAATTTAGTATTAACATAGTAAATTAGCATACTAACATAAAAATTAACATAGTAAGTTAATTTACTGCTTGTTGACTGACTGACTAAATGTTGCCTGTTGTGAATGGAGAGGAAAGGGACATGTGTGAGGTGTTATGGTGGTGGAGTCAATAGAACTTGGCAATTGATTGCCTAAAGGGGGTAAAGAACATGGAAGAGTAGAGCATTCAGAGGTTGTGAACTTGGGTGACTGGAAAAGGATGTGGTACCTCCATTGAAGGAGGGTAGTTTGAAGCGGGGGTGGATTTAGGGGGGAGGGATATTAAAACTATTTGTTGTTGTTGGTATGTTGAGTATGTTGAGTTTTATGTTGAGTTGGAGGCATCTTTCCCTACTACCACATCCCTAACAAATGGTTATTGCTACATCTCATTGAAAAATTCTAGAGACAGAGGACTTAGTACTTCCCAGAGTAGTCCATTCTAGTTTGGATGGTTCTAGACTAAGTCAAAGTCTGCTGCCTGTCAGTTGTGCACTTTGATTCTTGTATGGTGTATGGGAGAGCCTTTCCCATGTTGTCTGAATGCAGTCCTGTTTGCCAATGCCTGAAATTGCAGTGCCCAGAGCTGAATGTGATATAGGTTTCTACAAGCGTTTTCACAAACTCATCACTTACTTTCCCCCTGTTTTTAGAGGTGCTTAATTCATATTTTAGTCTTGGTTGTCATCAGGAGGTAAGCTCTTCTTTCTTAACACAGCTCTTTAATGGGCACCCTACAGTATTTGGGGCTGGCACTTTTCTCTACGCTAGGATATGTTTACCTCTAAATGCCTGGGAGCTTTCTCTTTCTGAGTATAAGCAGTGAAATTTCTGTTTTCCTCACCACCTGACAGTTGGCATACAGCTCTAGGCTGCCTTTTCTTTCCCTAGTGATGAAACCACATGCAAAAGTACAAAAGGCCTCCTTACTTATTTCCCCCTCCCCCAATCCCCAATTACGCAGTGAATACGAGGCTTAATTCTGTTCCTTGATGTAAGGTAGAAATACCTAAACATCACAAAGCTCTTTACTCCCAAAGTAAGGTGATTAGTGACCACTGTAATACAACTCTGAGATTCAAGAAACCTCAGGTCAAAGTACACATGAAAAACCTTTAACTGTTAGGAATGGTGAAAAAAGCATGACCATCACTTTCTGTTAAATCATCCCTTTAGTGGAAGCTGAATTCTGAGTGATTATAATAACTAGTCTTGGTCCTAAGAAACCTAATGAAGCCTTCCTCCCTCTTCTTGGAAGAGAGACAAGAGACTAAGGGAGCAGAATGTTGGTTGCATGCATTGTCCAACAGTCTCTTTGTCAATTTTTTCTGCTTATCTAATTTGATTACAAGGGAGGCATTTCGTTCTGGTTGGAGCAAAGGAGGGAGCCAAATGGTCGCCATATAAAGGCAAAAAAAGATTAATAGAACTTACTTTTTAAAGTGAAAATACATAATGCCCTTTTCAGTATAGGGTTGTTGGTGAGGATAGGAACTTGGTGTTTGAATTAACAAAAAAAAAAAAAAAGATTATCCCCCTCCCCCAACACAACCAGATTAAGGGAAAAGATTGATTTGAGCTTGGCTATGAGTGGGCTGACAAACTCTCATTCCAGTGAATGGAAGAGTGTTACAGTACTGAGTAGCCTAAAGGGAGATGATTTAAGATAGCCTTTTCAAATCAAAGCATTCATCTGTACCTTTTGCAAAGAGCCCAACTTCTCTATAGTCTACACCTTGCCTGCAGTCAGTTCTTGCCAATATCCAATCATAATGACTTGTTTCACACGGCTTTCCCCTCTGGTCTCGAACAAAGGAGTTTTGTCAGTCACCATCCCATGCATCACGATCTTTATATGTATATATAGTATGTGTACATATATGTGTGTATGTATGTGTGTGTATACACACACACACACAAATTTAATCACATTGACCTTAAGATCCAGATAGTTATAATGACTGCCTCCTCTCCTTTGTCATAGCACAGGGCACTACTTACATCTCCAATTTGCCTCTATTTACACGAGTATGTGCACACAATACCAAAGAGGCTCATCATTATGATATTTGTAGTCATGCAGGTAGTGAACCATTAATACCTGATGTTTGAGTTTGAAAGACAATGAAACGTAGCTGTTGGTTTATCTGTTTTTATGAAGGTGCTTGTTTTCTCTGCAGCGAGAGCCTTGCTACTTATTTTATGGTAAAAAGAACATTTGATTTGCCACCAACTTTCTTTTCCTGCTTTCGTCAGTTATTCTAGTGCACAGTTGCACGAGAAGCATATTGTCAGTTTTTTTTAAACTGACCCTATGTCCCCGTTTACTAAAGGGAAATTCAAAGAATCTTTCATGTGTAATATGCTGAGTGATTTTCTGCATCTGATTGCGATTCTTCATATTCATCATTAGAATTCATCATGCTGTTCGTCCCATAAAAGATGAATTCCACAGAGGACTGATTTTGTTGCCTTGGTGATACTTATAGCCTCATCTTTGAGGTTTGATAGTTTACTTTGCCCTAGTGTTTAAACCAATGGAATCAATATCTGTAAGTTCAAATAGCCAGACTAGAAAATAAATCTTAGAGGCAGTGATTCTAATTCATATAATAAAAATATTCATATCTTCTATATCCTGTGTATAATTTTATAAATAAAGAATAAGATGGTTTGGTCTCATCATTCAGAATGCACGAGTCGGCTTTCATTAGTCAAGGATGACCCATCCCTATTTCACGTGTAAGTGGACTATTTTAGGGATGCTAATTATACGTTGGCCCAATTCTGTGCTGTGTATATCATGCTTATTCCTAATGATAGTAATAATATCTCACATTTATATAGTATTTTCAGGTTTTCAAAGCCCTTTATATAACTTATCTCCTTTGACCTCATAACAGTCCTGTTAGATTGATATCAGAAGAATTATTGATATTGTGTCACCTATTTTATAGATGAGGAAAATGAAATTAAGAGAGATCATTTGACTTAGCCATGGCCACATATAACAAAGGCTTAGTTTAGGCAGAATTTGAACCCAAACCATTCCTGCAAGTACAGCCCTCTTTCCATCATACCATATTGCCTGATTTCTCATTTATCTATACATTGTTTTCATAACACATTCCTCAGATGCAACTTTGGAACCATGTTGAAGGCAGGGTAGTTTAGTGGAAAGAGCCTGAAAGTGTGAGTCAGACCTGAGTTTTAGTGCTAGCTTTTCTACCACTTGACCCTGGACAAGCAAGTCACAAAGCCTTGCTGTGTCTCCATTTCCACTCATATAATGAGTATGTTGGATTAGATTTATGAGATCCCTTCAAACTTCA